TAAGGTATGTTGATTAATATCATGGATTGTATTTACATAAAACTTGATCTTGTCCATTATATTCTGAGGAAGCTGTCAATAAACATTAGCAAAATAAATAGTTTCAGAATCAAGTATATAGCCATGATGCTCAAGATTTATTTGGTAATAGTCAGATTTGATGATTTAAATAATCAACACATATTAACAAAACAAGTGCAACCAGTTTTAACTGATTTTCTGTTACATTGTTATGAAGAATCAATGGCTGTTTTTTTGAATTTAAAATTTCTAGCATGCCGACACTCAAAGACATATTTATATACTCTATCATGCTTATCTAATTTTTTGTCTTGAATTCACTATACAAAGTCATTCCATTGTTCATATACTAATAGTACCAAATTTGTATAATTCTAATGATCAAATTTCATTTCAGTATATAATTTTGATGCTTGCTCAAAAGCAGCTTCAAAAATCATATGCATTTCAAGTGGCCTTCTTTTTGTTATTTCAGCACGAGATAAAATATTTTCTTGAACATCTTTATCAACCTCATCACAGCTATTTATCTCATTTAAATTATCATCGACCTCATCATAGTTATTTATCTTATTTAAATTATCATCGACCTCATCACAGCTATTTATCTCATTTAAATTATCATTAACCTCATCACAGCTATTTATCTTATTTAAATTGTCATTATTAATATCAGATTGATCCATTTTTTGTAAAGTATTATATGGCATTAACTTATTCTTTGTTTACTTGTAACTGTAATGTTTTTTTCAATTGTTTTATAGAACAAATGATAAGCAGGTTTTTATGAACAATAACCAGTATTTTTTAGAAAATGTATACAAGAAAAAAAAGATCGATTATTGTTCGATCACCCCTTTTATTTATTTTATCTTTCGCATATTTATTACATCATTAAATAGTATCCTGCATATGTCAAAATAAACTCAGCAATTACATGCATATTGACAATCATATACTATAATGATAGAATGTTGTTTTAACAAATCAGTTAGGATGATATTAATAAAATCTCATCCTGCATATGCCAAAATAAACTCAGCAATTATATGCATATTGATGATCATATAATATAATGATAGGATGTTGTTTTAACAAATCAGTTAGGATGATATTAATAAAATCTCTAAAAAAAATATATATATATATTTCTTTATATATATATAATATTATATTTTATATAAATGTTTCAAGCTTCTAATATTAAATAAAATTCAACTTAGTATATCTGAATTATAATTATATAAGACCAATTGATTAATAAAAAACAATTTTTATAATACAGATATAATTTTTAAAATTTATTGTTTATAGAATTTAATTACTAAATCTGCTACTTAAAATTAACAATTCATCTATTTTACTAAGTTATTACATTCTATACTAATATTTATTAAAAAAAAATTTTTTAAACTTCTTATCTTAAAAAGTAATTTTTATTTAAGTTTTGTTAGATATAAGTATTTCCAAAAGCTTCTTTACATTAAAGATTATAATTAATCATATATGTATTTTTAATGTTTAATTTAAATAGTCTGTCTATATATTACTATACAAGTTTTATACTAGATATCATATTTGCAAGTCAATTATAGATCTTGTTTATTTAAACTCTTTGTATATGCAATTTTTTTGTATAATAAAAACATTTTTAGAGCACAGCTTATCCAAGTTTCTAATTTTTATCAATATTCTTAAAATTATTTTATTCTTGATAGAAAATTTATTAAAGTCTGATATGTTTTATATAATATGTTATAGTTACTTAATACTTGTAATTATAGAAGTTATCTGTTTAATTATTATATTATATTATTTCTACTCTTATAAAGTTTATTAGAACTCTAGTACTTATCTTTCTAACATCTTTTTTATTATCTTTTACTAACTGCTACTTAGAACTAACAAACTCTAATTAAACTACTAATTTAGATAATCTAATATAGTATACTTTTGTATTTTTTTCTAGTAAATTTGGCAGCCTGATTGGTTATATGTTTCTTTATATATATTTTATATTCAGTTTATTTAATTAATTTATTTAGAGATAGTTTATGAGCTTTAACTAGTTTAATAGTACTGTTAAAATTTTATGCTATCTTTTTACTTAAAAATTTTCAAATAAGTTTTTAGCTTTTTAGTTCTTTAGTCTTTTAAAACTAATAGTTTTATTGTAAATTTGCACTAAATTCTTATACAATACTAGTTATTAATATTTTTCTATATATATATAATATTATGTTTTATATAGATGCTCTAAGCTTTCAATAATAAGTAGGCCTGACTTGATATACTTGAGTTATAGCTACATAAAATCAACTAATTAACAAAAAACAGTTACTATAACACAGATTAATTTTTAAATTTTATTATAAATAATTATATATGAGTATTAGAAAAACTAGTTTTAGAATTACAAAAAGCAAAAATTGAAGAAGCAAAAAAAATCACAAAAAGTAATTATAGAATAATAATAGCAAAAGTATAAATCAAACATATAATGCCAAAAAAGCAAAACAAAAACTAAAAGAAAAAAGCTGTTAAAAACAATATATTTGTATAATTAAATAAAACAGAAGACTAAGAAAACTATGCAAAAGAGTTACAAAACTAACTAAAAATAAAAAAAATCTTAAAAGACATTTATAAAAAATAATAAAAAAAAATAAAAGAATAAACAAAATAAATAACATTTAAGATATAATAGAAAAAGTGATTATTATAGTAGCAAGTAAACATATACTAAAAAAAAATATACAATATTATAACAAATAGAAGAAAAAGCCAAAAGAACAGTAACAGAAGAAAAGTGTTATTAAACTTCAAAGATTAATTAGATATATGAAAATAAATAAAAAATTAAAAAATAACAAAAGAAAAAAAAAGCAAAATAAATAAACAATTAAAAACACTAAGCAAAAAAATAGATATAAAATTATTAAGATTACAAAGACAATAGTTGAGTATATAGATAAAAAATATGAAAAGTTGAAAAAAATTCTTACAAAATAAAAAAGAAATAGAAACAAGCACAAAAAAGACAATAGAAAAAAATATAGATAAAAGATATAAAATAATTAAAACAAACTAAGAAAAAATAATAGCTAATCTGTTAAATAGGTTTTACAAAAAAATAATACTTAACAAATTTATTAAGCAAATAAAAGAAAAAACAAGCTTGTTAACAAGACTAGAAAAAGTTAAAACAGGAGTAACATTATAAAAAGCAGTTTAGAAAGACAAACATTAGATTAGAAAAGATATTAAAAAAGTAAAAAAAAGTATATAAACTATAAAAGGTTATCAAAAAAGAATAGTACACAGATATTAAAAAAGAAATTAAAAAAATAAAATAAAAAGAAGTACTAAAAGAGCTAAAAACAAAAACAGCTCTAGGTATATTAGATATAAGTTATATTTTGATAAAGTAAGCAGAAAAAAAATACAAAAAGTGTTTAGAAGCTTTGCAGATTTGTGTCTAAAAGTAGAGGAGATACCAACTAAATAAAAAATAGCACAAGTTTACCTAATACTAAAAGATGTTAAATAGAGATATAGTATTGTTGGATTCAGAAAATTGTAACTCAGTTACTCCAAAATTCAAAATTTTATATAATATATGACAAGTAATCTTTTTAAAAGAGAGTGTTAGATTTGGCTTGTAGGTAGTTTAGACTTTTGGTTACTTTGAGTTAATAAATGCAAATAGGGTAAGTCATGTGATCAAGGGTTGAACAGTGATATTATTAGGGGTTCACAGGGTTTGTAACAGTAATAGTATTAGTGTTTATTAAGTACAATATGGAGTATTAGGATTTATTATTTAATAAAGCAAACGAAGCATACTGCTCTTAGAGCCATTTGGCCTTTATTTATAATATAAAATTTATTGCTTACAAAAATAACTTTGCACTTATTATTACTTTAAGGCTATTAAATATTATTTATACTGATCTATATAATATCTTTAAGGATGTATAATTTCTACTTCTATTTTTTTTTCTGAATCTGAAATACCATTTCTGGTCACAAATATAACTTATTACATTTTGTGTATTTTTCATATGATCGAACACAATATCTAGTATCACAATATCTGTTATCACAGTATAAACAATATTCAATTAATAGCATTAATAAAAACATTTAGAAAGATTATAACAAAAGTAATAACAAAAAGGCTTTTCAAAGTATTTATAAAAAAAAAATACTTAAAGGATCAAATTACATAAATCTTTCAGGTAATTTAACAGAACAACCAGTATATATTCTAAATATAATAATAGAAGAAGCAAAGAAAAAGAACAAAGAAGTATAGATACTTTTGCAAAATATAAAAAAGGTATTTGATTCAGTTTTATTTAAAAGTCTTAAATTAGTATTGTAAAAAGTCAAAATACTTAAAAGAATAATAAAATATATTTTAAATTTTTTTTATAAAAGACAACTAAGAATTATTACAGCTTATAGTCTAACAAAAAAAATAATTATAAAAAATAATATAAATTATAATAAAATATTATTATTATTATTATATTAGCTTTTTTATAATTTATTTTTAGGAAGTATGATGACTTAGTAAAGTAAATAGGTTGTTAACCTTCAAGTGGCAGGTTTAAGGTTTAATTCTCACAGATGATGAATTTTGAAAATTATATTTGTATTATGGCAACTGTTACTTGTTGATTGGTTGGATTTATACATCTGTAATCTTAGGTATATCAGGTTAGGGCTTACCTAATTTTGAAAGCTCAAGGCATCTATATGAAGTATAACATTATATATACATAAAGGAATATTAAAACTAGTATCATATAAAACTTCAGTACAAACCTATAATAAGACCACCAAATATAGAAAAAAAACTAAGAAACCAAGAAGACTGAAGCCTATTTAGAAATTCTAAATAAAGAAATAGCACAAACCTTTAATAATGCTGTCAGACTGATAGAAGTCTATAAAACACCTTTATAGAAACTGTCAAATAAACCAGATAACAAGATATATAAAAGAGCATATAACCAACCAGGTTGCCAGAATCATCAGAGGAAAAGAATACATAAGTATACTATACTAGGCCATCTGAATTAAAAGTCTAAAAAGTCCATTGTTAGTTCCAAGTTGCAGCTAATAGAGAATAATAAAGAAGAAGTTAGAAAGATAGGTACCAGGGTTTAAGTAAACTTTACAAAGATAATAACAGTTTAATAGATAATCCTGACTGCAAATGTTGGTTTCAGCCATAGTGTTCAACCAGATTAGTAATAAAAAGAGAATATAGTTTACTCTGGTAGGTTTGTCTCAAGAATAAAAATAGTCAAAAGATTATAGTCTATAGTTAAATACAAATAAATCTGAGTCTGTAATTTAGTAAAATTAATACTAAGGTCAAATCAAAGGATTTAAATAAAACATCTAAGCAGAAGTGTTAGGTATGGCAACTGGTAGAAAACTTCTGGGTGGACTTCTTAAATAGGTAATATAAAAAAGTTAAACATATAGTCAGTTGTACATTCATCTAATAGTTCAATATAGATTCATCTATATAAAACATGTACTCAATATAAGTATTAATAAAAAGCATGGACCAAAGAGGTTACCTTAATATCAATAATAATAATAATAATAATAATAATTTATTATTAGAAAGAGTACAAGAAGATGAAAGTTTAGAGTATATAATAGT